ATAACAACTGAAATGGTTCAACTCTGGCATCACCCACCAAGGATGCATCTACACTGTAGAATTAATGCAGTTTAGCACCATTGTTAATGAGGATAATAATAATAATAACAACAACAACAACAACAACAACAACAACAACAACAACATTAATAAATCACCTTTATTTATATCCCACTTTTTTCCCTCACCGTACCCAAAGTAGCTTACAATATATTAATGTCATACAGACAACAATCCAAATGCATATATCCAGGCCAAAAAAAACAATTAATAAATATGCATCTTAAAATGGACAAATCAAAACAATATACATTCATGTGACATCATGTTGAGTTATACTGCACTTTGCTCCAGTCAATGATATTATGGCACTTTTTTAGCACTTCAATTAAATTTCTTCACTGAAGACATGTCTAAACATGAAGTTCTTAATTGATTCTTAAAAGAAGAAAGGGAGGGAGCTGTTTTAATTTCTTTTGGGGGGCGGCCACTGAAAAGGTCCTCTCCCTCATCGTTGTGAACCGTAGTGGCAGAAATGAAAGAAAGGCCTCCCCTGGTGATCTTAAGGACTGGGCAGTTTGGTATGAGGAGATGTGATTAGATAAGTAAGTTGGGCATGAACCATTTATGGCTTTAAAGGTCAAAAACAGCACCTTGAGCTGGGCTCGGAAACAAATTGATAGCCAGTGAAGGTGTTGTAGAAGATGAGTTGGGTGCTCCCTGGTTCCAGCACCTGTGAATAGCCTGGCTGCAGCTCTTTGGACTAGTTGAAGTTTATAGCACTCTTCATGGCCAGCCCCATTACAGTAGTCTAGGTGGGATGTATGGACTACCATAGCCAAGTCTGGCTTCTCAAGGTTTAATTGTGCAAAGGCCCTCCTGGCCACCGTCAAAACCTGGACCTCCAAGCTTAGCGCTGAGTCCAGGATGATCCCCAAGCTGCAGACCTGTGATTTCAGGGGGAGTGTGACCCCCATCTAACACAGGTTGCCGTCCTATACCCTGATCTACCTTATAACTGATAAGGAGGACCGCTGTCTTCTCTGGATTCAATTTCAATTTATTTGATATTGGATTCTGGGAGTTGTGGTTTTGTGGGGCTCCAGCAATCTTGGGTAGAGAAGGCTACACACTTTGTAAAACTGCAATTCCAACTATTCAGGAGCATTGAGCTAGGGCAATTAAAATGGTGTCTAACTGTGTTCATTCTACAACAGAGTTTCTCAACCTGGGGGTTGGGACCCCTGGAGGGTCATGAGGGGGTGTCAGAGAGGTTGCCAAAGACCATCAGAAAACAGAGTATTTTCTGTTGGTCATGGGGGTTCTGTGTAGGCATGTTTGGCCCCATTCTATTGTTGGTGGGGTTCAGAATGCCCTTTGATTGTAGGTGAACTATAAATCCCAGCAACAACAACTCTTAAATGTCAAGGTCTATTTTCCCCCAAACTCCACCAGTGTTCACATTTGGGCATATTGAGTATTTATGCCAAGTTTGGTGCAGATCCACCACTGTGCTCTCTGGATGTAGGTGAAGTACAACTCCCAAACTCAAGGTCAATGCCCACCAAACCCTTCCAGCATTTTCTGTTGCTCATGGGAGTTCTCTGTGCCAAGTTTGGTTCAATTCCATTGTTGGTGGAGTTCAGAATACTCTTTGATTGTAGGTGAACTATAAATCCCAGCAACTACAAGTCACAAATGACAAAATCAACCCTCCCAACCCCACCAGTATTCAAATTTGGGTGTATTGGGTATTTGTGCTAAATTTGGTCCACTGAAGGAAAATACATCCTGCATATCAGATATTTACATTACGATTCATAACAGTAGCAAAATTACAGTTATGAAGTAGCAACGAAAATAATTTTATGGTTGGGGGTCACCACAACATGAGGAGCTGTGTTAAGGGGTCACGGCATTAGGAAGGTTGAGAAACACTGTTCTACTGTGTAGCTGCACCCCAAGTTTACCAGACCAGTCAAACTCTCAGAACAGGAAGTAGAGTGCATGTACCACATTCTACTGTCATGCAGTTTCTATGAACAGGCCTGAGCAGACATAATCAATCCCCTACTAAGGAATTTACCTCCAAGTTCAGAAAAACCTTCCCCATGTGACCTTGGCAGTTGCCAAGTTTCTTTCTGAGGCAGCCAAACTTAGACATTTCCCAATTTTAGACACAGGCTGAAAGTCTTTTACCTATGTTTTTAGCCAACTTGTGTTTTAAGCAATTTTAACTGTTGTTAATTTTACCCATCTGTGTGCTCAAGCAACAGGTTGTTCTTAATCTCATTGCCTGCATACCTTGAGGCTGAAACACGCCGGCACTTCTTTTTAGCTTTTTACCCTTGTTTTTAGCCAACATGTATTTTAAGCAGCTTATGTTGTTCATTCGTTCAGTCGTTTCAGACTCTTCGTGACCTCATGGACCAGCCCACGCCAGAGCTCCCTGTCGGCTGTCACCTCCCCCAGCTCCTTCAGAGTCAAGCCAGTCACTTCAAGGATGCCATCCAGCCATCTTGCCCTTGGTCGGCCCCTCTTCCTTTTTCCTTCCATTTTCCCCAGCATAATTGTCTTCTCTAAGCTTTGCTGTCTCCTCATGATGTGGCCAAAGTACTTCAACTTTGTCTCTAATATCCTTCCCTCCAATGAGCAGTCGGCCTTTATTTCCTGAAGTATGGACTGGTTGGATCTTCTCGCAGTCCAAGGCACTCACAGAACTTTCCTCTAGCACCGCAGTTCAAAAGCATCTATCTTCCTTTGCTCAGCCTTCCCTATGATCCAGCTCTCACATCCGTAGGTGACTATGAGGAATACCATTGCTTTATTTATTTATTTACTTATTTATTTACGGCATTTATATGCCGCCCTTTTCACCCCAAAGGGGACTCAGAGCGGCTTACAAGATATATTTTCATACAATATATTATATTATTACCATAGTACAATATCAGTATTATATATTACTATATTGCACTATACCATTATATTGTAATATTATTAGTAATATTACATGTAATGTAAATATATAATTATAATTATAATATTGTAATATTATTACTATTGCTATTATTATTACATAGCTTTAACTACGCAGATCTTCGTTGCCAGTGTGATGTCTCTACTCTTCACTATGTTATCGAGATTGGACATTGCTCTCCTCATAAGGAGTAAGCATCTCCTGATTTCCTGACTGCAGTCTGCGTCTGCAGTAATCCTTACACCTAGAAATACAAAGTCTGTCACTGCCTCCACGTTTTCTCCCTCTATTTCCCAGTTGTCAATCATTCTTGTTGCCATAATCTTGGTTTTTTTTATGTTTAACTGCAACCCAGCTTTTGCGCTTATACTGTTTGCAAATTTTATCCACTAGATGTATCATTACCTGTATAACTTGTATGCTACAGTGCAATATACGGTTCTGGTCCAGCTTACTTGTCCGAATGCATCTGCCTCTACGTCCCAACTCATAACTTAAGATCATCCGGGGAGGCCCTGCTCTCACTCCCGCCAACATCGCAAACGCGGCTGGTGGGGACGAGAGACAGGGCCTTCTCGGCTGTAGCCCCCAGCCTGTGGAACGCGCTTCCAAATGAAATACGATCGACCCCATCCCTCCTGGCATTCAGGAAGAAATTAAAATCTTGGTTTTGGGACCAGGCTTTCGTACAATAAACATAAAGCAGCACTTTGACTGGAAATGGATTGGCAAGACAATATGTATGAGGATACGGTTTTATGGTTCTATCAGTGGACTGAGTATTGTTTTAATGACTTATGATAATTTGGTTATAATTAACTGCTATTGTTTTAACTCTGCATGTATTTATGGTTTTATACTGTGTTATTGATTGTGGCATCAAATTGCTGCCTTTGTTAGCCGCTCTGAGTCCCCCCTCGGGGGTTGAGAAGGGCGGGGTAAAAATGCTGTAAATAAATAAAAATAAATAATTAGGGTCTCTGGACCATTTTATTAATAATCTATATATAAAAATGTAAAGTTCGTTTGTGGGATTAACAGAACTCAAAAACCACTGGAGCAATGGACACCAATTTTGAACACAATACACCTAACAACCCAATGTATGTCCTTCACTCAAAAAATTAATTTTGTCATTTGGGAGTTATAGTTGCTGGGATTTATAGTTCACCTACAATTAAAGAGCATTCTGAACTCCACCAATGATGGAACTGAAACAAACATGGCACACAGGACGCCCATGATCAACAGAAAACACTACAACGGTTTGGTGGGCACTGACCTTGAGTTTGGGAGTTGTAGTCCATCTACATCCAGAGAGCACTGTGGACTCAAACAATAATGGATCTGGACCAAACTTGGCATGAATATTCTATATGCCCAAATATGAACACAGATGCAGTTTGGGGGAAATAGACCTTCACATTTGGGATTTGCAGTTACTTGGATTTATAGTTCACCAACAATCAAAGAGCATTCTGAACCCTCCGAATGACAGAATTGGGGCAAACTTCCCACACAGAACCCCATGACCAATAGAAAATACTTAAGGCCATCCAGTCCAACTCCCTTCACCAGGGCAAGAAAACGTAATCAAATCCTGTTTACCCACAAGCATAAAAAAATTACATATATTAGAAAATACTTTATTTTCCAGATCACCAGACGGCCACAGCAACGCGTGGCAGGGGACGGCTACTAATATATATATATGTTTCAGAAGCATTCTCTTCCGACATTTCGCCAGCATCTATGGCAGGCATCCTCAGAAGTTGTAAAGTCGCAGGCCTCACAACTTCTGAGATGCCTGTCATAGGTGCAGGCGAAAAGTCAGGAGAGAATGCTTCTGGAACATGGCCATACAGCCCGGAAAACTCACAACAACCTTGCGATTCCGGCCATGAAAGCCTTCTCAGAGCTGTCTCACAGGTTTCAGAGTAAAGCGGTTTCCTTTACTTTAATTTCTGGAACAAATCTTCCCTCAGAGGACAAAACGTGAATTGGGGGCGCTGGTACTCACCCATGCCGTGCCAAATCACCAGAGGCACCGGTATCGCCCGGCTCTCCAACTCTATCCGGCAAAAGGCTCCTGAGAACAGCAGACAAGACACAAACAACCTGATCGACGCCATCTTGGCTATATCACATGATCTCCGCCTCGAGACAGGGAGGAAACGGCATCACGTGACCAAACGCCTTCCAAGAGGCTGTGTTTTGAAGGAGGCTGCAAAATTGCAATACTTATGGCAGTCATAGCTCAAGAAGCAGGGGCAATGGGAACGGAGGAAGAAATGCAATGTCTCTCCAGGAACATGGGCTTCCCATCCCTGTTTTGCAACGAGGCATTGCGAGATGTCCAACTGGAGGAGGCTCCTGTGCCTTGCATAGAATATTAGCGTTGGAAGAGACCTCGTGGGCCATCCAGTCCAACCTCCTGCCAAGAAGCAGGAATTTTGCATTCGAAGCACCCCTGACAGATGGCCATTTAGCCTCTGTTTAAAAACCTCCAAAGAAGGAGCCTCCACCACACTCTGGGGCAGAGAGTTCCACTGCTGAACGGCTCTCACAAGTTCTTCCTCATGTTCAGATGGAATCTACTTTCTTGTAGTTTGAAGCCATTGTTCCGTGTCCTAGTCTCCAGGGAAGCAGAAAACAAGCTTGCTCCCTCCTCACTGTGACTTCCTCTCATATATTTATACATGGCTATCATGTCTCCTCTCAGCCTTCTCTTCTTCAGGCTAAACATGCCCAGCTCCTTAAGCCGCTCCTCATAGGGCTTGTTCTCCAGACCCTTGATCATTTTAGTTGCCCTCCTCTGGACACATTCCAGCTTGTCAATATTTCTCTTCAATTGTGGTGCCCAGAATTGGCCACAATATTCCAGGTGTGGTCTAACCAAGGCAGAATAGAGGGGTAGCATTACTTCTTTAGATCTAGACCAGGGGCCCTCAAACTAAGGCCCGGGGGCCAGATATAGCCCTCCAAAGTAGTTTACCCGGCCCTCGCTCAGGATCTGAACCGACTTGAAAACACACAACAACAACAATCCTATCTCAGCCAAAAGCAGACCCACACTTCCCATTGAAATACTAATAAGCTTATATTTGTTAAAATTCATCTTCATTTTAAATATTGTAATGTTTTAAAGTGGTTTTTGCACTACAAAATAAGATCTGTGCAGTGTGCATAGGAATTCATTCATGTTTTTTTTCAAATTATAATCCAGCCCTCCAACAATTTGGGGGACTGTGATCTGGCCCTCTGCTTAAAAAGTTTGTGGACTCCTGATCTAGACACTATGCTCCTATTGATGCAGGCCAAAATCCCATTGGCTTTTTTTGTAGCCACATCACATTGTTGGCTCATGTTTAACTTGTTATCCACGAGGACTCCAAGATCTTTTTCACACGTACTGATCTCGAGCCTCCAGCTTTCAGATGGTTGGAAACCAGCCCAAAGAAGACAAAACAGAAAACTACCCTTGACTAACCTGGAAATACATTTCTCTATGGAGAGACTATATCTCCATGTGAAAGTGGAGTGAATGATCCAGTATGTGTGTGTGCGAGAATGAGAAACCCTCCCCCCTCCTTCCTCCCCCGTCCCCTCTTTCCTTTTTACCCCCTTTCTACTCTTCCCTATCTCCTTCCAATTGTTCCACCACTTTTTATGTATCTAAAAATTCACAATAAAAACATATTTTAAAAAAATATGTCGGAGGAAGCCACAGGGAGGAGGGAGCAAGCTTGTTTTCTGCTTCCCTGGAGACTAGGACGCAGAACAATGGCTCCAAACTACAAGAGAGGAGATTCCATCTGAACATGAGGAAGAACTTCCTGACCGCGAGAGCCGTTCAGCAGTGGAACTCTCTGCCCCGGAGTGTGGTGGAGGCTCCTTCTTTGGAAGCTTTTAAACAGAGGCTGGATGGCCATCTGTCAGGGGTGATTTGAATGCAATATTCCTGCTTCTTGGCAGGGGGTTGGACTGGATGGCCCATGAGGTCTCTTCCAACTCTTTGATTCTATGATTCTATGGGCAGCTGCATCCTCACGATTGTGGAAGACCTTAAAGGCAATGTTGATTAGCTGGGAGATGGGCATCCCATCTCCTGCCTCTAGCTTCATGACCTTCCAATGAACAAAGAGTTCAAGGCTGGTTGGAATTGGGGGTTTGTGGGGTCAATGTTGGTCCACTGCTTGGCTGTCCGACAGATTCTATCATAGAAGTCAGAGGGGTTCTCGTCTGGCTCTTGTTTGAGATCATAGAACTTGGAAAGGTTCAAGGCACTGGGATAGACAAGCGGCATGGCGGCTAAGAGGGCACGGTGGAAGCCTCTCTTCCACTCTCTCTCTGGCTCAAAGCCATGAAACAGGCAGCATAAGCAAGTTCAGACCATCTGGCCTCTGCATGGCAGTGTGACTGGAGTTTCAGAATGATCTCCTCATCCACACTGCCATGTGGGGGCCAGGATGCACCACCCTCCAAAGACCTTAGGGGCCATTTTGCTGTACTGTATCTGACTAACCTAGCTGGCACCAAAGACTTTGACGCAAGCCCATCCCAATCAGCTAAGATCTTACCAAGAGGTGTTTCCTTTGGGACAGGACATCGTCGGCGGGAAAAATAAACGCCCATCTTAGGCTTCTGCCTCCTAAGGTTACCTATAGATTAATGGAAGCCAACCTCGCCAACCGGAACACGGGTTCTCCCAATAGTCCTTTTCACGTAAGATGAGCAGCTAGCACTTGAGCAATCCTGTGAGGGAAAAGGAAAACAATCCCTTGGCCCCTACAGCACTCAAGCCTGGAACTACAAGCTAGACTATCCTTGCCTCGCCTAAGATGCCAGACCTTCCCCACACCTCATTCAGGAATTTGTTACTGAACCCCCCTTACCAGAAGTTCTAAACTTCAAAGAAGTCCCTCCCACCTGAGGTCTTGGCGTGCCCCGGTTGCTTTTTTATTTTATTTATTTTTTAATTAACTAGGATTTGTAGCCACGTCGGTGGCCTTTCTTCCTGGAAGTCTCAATCGCTTCCCTTATGCTCCTTTGTGCCGGAACCCCAGGACAAATCAGTCAAGAGGAAGGTGCTGTGAGAATGACTTAATGAAGAATAAGTAGGGAGCCCCCTCTCCCAGCCATTCCTCTTCTAGAGCTGTCCTGAAATTCCTGGACCAAGTAGCTGCTTGGAATTTACCCTAGAATTTTAGTTCTTGGGACCCAAGCCCGTCCCTTCGTGAAAGTCGCCAAATGAAATCTAGGTCAAAAGAGAGCCTTTAGGAGGGTCTGCCCCTGGAGGAGAGACCCTGCAAACCCACCAAAGAAGGATCGCTACTTTGGCGAGCTAAGAGAAGCCAAGTCAAAAATAAAATAATTATGAAAACCCTAAGTTCCCAATAAGAATCTCACCAAAGTCGAAGAAAGCGCCACCGAGGTGTTTATTGAGCAATTCAGCCGAATAGGATGCAGAGCCGCAATCATTCGCCAGCAGAGCATGAGCAATTACATCAAAAACAGCCTTTTATATAAGAAATACAGAGTTGCAAGGTTTGAATCTCCTGCCCCTGCCTCCCCGCTGGTCTTTGCTGTGATTGGCCGATGAGTCAACAGCTGGGAAGCGGCCCTCCCGCCTCCCGTGCCTAAGGGCCAATCAGGAGGCTTCAGTGATGCATTGGAACCAATCAGAGAGCTGCTGCTTTGCGGCGGTGGCGAATCAGGAGTGAGTGAGGCGGGACGAAGAAGCACAATGGAATTATGAATGAGTTGTGAAATAGGAACTGCCAGGGGGCCCCACGAGACTCTGTAGGGTCTCCAGCCGGGCCGACCTATTGTTGTTTGATTGGGTTGAGTCAACATAAACAAAGGAAAAACCTAATCTTTTAAATCAGTAAACAGGAGGACAAAAGGGGCGAAACTGGGATGAATGTTCCTTGGCGGATAATCAGTTGAGTCAATCAGGGCGGGGGGGGGGGGGTGTTCCGAAGGCACCCTTGCCTCCAGATAGTAAAATGATTAAGGTCTGCCATGGGGCGACCACCCGCTGGGCAACTCCGAGAGCAAAAAGCAGTCACCATTGTTCTTGTCCATGCAAGGGATTTATGGATTAGGTTTCTTTGTGAATATTTTGGCTCTGCAATTTCCTGGTGGGAATTCATCATGAGGGGAAAGGGAGGAAAGGTTAAGGGGCAGGGGGAGCCTCAGCCGCAAGGAAATCATGAAAAACATAATATAAGTCCACAGTTCATAATATGGGGGAATTCATAAAGATATATCCTTTGGAGGGGATGAAAGGAGTTCATGGGGAATGATTTAAAGGCATAAAAAGTCATATAAAAGTCTTGGAGAGCCTCTTGGAATCAGTCCAAAGAGCCTTGGATTCCTGGACCCAAACTCTGCCCGTTGTCCTTGGGAAACTATAACTCCCTCCTGGAGTTGGGGTGAGACAACGGGGCTTCCTGGGGCTCCCATGGGATGTGCTCATCGAGTCCCTGGAAGCCGGGGATCCCACGGGATGAAGGGAAGACGTTGGTTGCAGGCAGGCACGGCAACAAGCAAGAGTTTGACAATCAGCTGTTTCTTTTATTTTAAAATAATACTAAAAATCCAATTATTATTTCCTGAGTGCAGGGAGAGTAAATGCAAAAAGTGAGATAGCAGATAGGGTTAGAATTCAGTCAGGAAAAATATGACACCAAAAAGGAGGCGATCCATCAACTCATGGATACGGGGGCCCGAGCGGTTTCAGTATCCGCAGTTTGAGGGAACGCATTTTCAGTCTACCTGGGACGCCAAAAAGGCATCCCAGGCGAGCCGGCGGCTGCCTGCGGCTCAGGAAAGGGTAAGTTCATGCATTGAAACAGTTTCAGTAAGAGAGAGATGCAAAGTATCAGTCTGGAGAGGTGAGGGATACAATTCAATTAGCGTTTATTAAGGGTTAGTTACAATTTTGGGACTGGGGAAAAGAAATGAAGCAGAAAGGTTCAATGTGAGAGAAAGTTCCTGGTTGAGACTACGGTTGAGGCACATTCCATCTGTTTGGACTCAACTGGGCATCTAGGAACTGTGGAACTCCCTGCTGCAAGTCAAATTAACTTGAAAGCAGGAGCCTGGGCTGCGCTCGGTATCATTGTCTTGCTTTGTAATTTATCCTAATTAAAAAATAAA